AGTTTACAGAATCAGAAAATCATATGATAAAAATAATGAAGTGAAAAAGGTAATTTTTAGGTAAAATACTATGCAGCTCAGCATCAAATAGCTTTGAATGTTTGAATCTTTAAGCAAAACCCTTGTAGCTTTAAAACAAAGCAAACCAGAAAAGCCTTGTGTATTTTGTAGGGGCTTCATTATAGTTTCTGGGGTATTTTGTAAATCACTAAGGACTGATAGAAAAGGTGAGATGTTGTTGATAATGTGTCCTGATAGAGCAAGGACTCTTGACTGTCGCTGAGGGGACATGACACAGTTAAAAGAAAGGCAAAAATCTCACTTGTACTGCAAGTTTTATCCAGATGGAATGCAAAAACTGTAATTCTCCTAAGATGGATACTTTGTAATATGTCTCTTCAGGAAATAACTATGTAGCTCCAGGGTTATAAATCTGCAGATTTAGTTGTAGCTGCGTCCAGAAAATGGTCCGATAGTAAATTAGGTGACCTTTTTGGTCCTATTTGAATTATATAAATATTGCATGTAATATTATGTATGTATTTGTTTCGTGTATTTATGTAGGCTTACATGTTTTGCTGAGTAAAACTGAAGTGGCATATAAGTTTCCAGAGCTCCTACCCCTGGTATGTAATAAAATGTAGCATGTTCATTAAATGTAATTAATGCTGAAAGTGAAATTGGTCATGTAAGTGTAGGATGTTATTAAATAAAACAAAGGACCCTTTTACGATGAATTCTGTTCAGAGAGATTATCTTTAGTAGATAAAATTATCATTTAAAAGATTGATATCTAGATATTCATGACTGGAGCATAAGCAGTCAGTGTTTCTCTCTTAAATAACTTAAGACTCAGGTTTAACGTTTGTATCCAGTTCTTCATGAATTACCCTCTTTCTGTAGTAGAAACTGGTTTTGGGAACTCCTGGAAGGATCTGATTTCTTCCCCTTGGCCTAGCTTCTAATTTTCTTCCCCTTGGCCTAGCTTCTAATTTTCTTCCCCTTGGCCTAGCTTCTAATTTTCTTCCCCAGCTCATTCTTACTTCCTGCGTGTTCTTGTTGATACGCTGTTTCTTTAAGGGGAAGTTAAAAAGGGTAAGGTAAATTAAAAGAAGAGAAAACATAACTGGGAGAAGAAATCTCCGTGTCTCTTCAAAGAAGTATTAACCTTTGAATGAAAGAAAGCAATTGACAGTGTCATTAAATTGATAGTGTTGATGTTTTAAAATACAAAACCTACTGTCTTTAAGAATAAACTAAAGCCCTTGTTGAGTACTTCTGTAGAGCAAAGACAGAAGGTGAGGGTGATAAACAGTGATTGGATGGATTGTGAATAGGCTATCAAACTTTGTGTTGGATTTGCTTCTGTTTGTCTTGCCAAAATATTTTAATGATCATAAATATCATGCTCCTTTATTTCAGTCCTGTATTCTTTTATTTTCTCTCTATATATCAAAATATTGCATTTTCTTAATGCAGAGTGAACTTAGCCCACCTATGTTAATAGAACATCCTCTACGATGCTTAGTCCTATGTGCCCAAGTGCATGCAGGGATGTGGAGAAGAAATGGATTCTCTCTTGTTAATCAGGTAAGTACACAGTAGCTGTAGAATCACTGTTTTCTAGTAACTCTTCCAAGATAATATTGGACCTCAAAACCTCCACTTTCTGTATTGATTTCAAATTTCGCTTGTGTAAATCTTAAGGAAGGCAATGCGAGGTAGGCGTTTATATCAGCACTCACATCACTTGAATATTTATGCTTTTAAACTGGTCTTTATTTTCTTAGTTAGAAGTTGCTTTTTTGTGTCAGGACTGCTACAGTGCTCAGTGACCTTAGTGCTCTGTGCCTGAAGGAGTTTTTGTTTAATGCATTTAACGGCTCCTAGCCTTTTTACTATGTACTGTGCAGCAGCAGCATGAAGTGCAGAATTAGATCTGTGCATCTGCAGTAATGCATTTATCCCCTTCACATAAAAGTGTCTCAAATATGAAAATATGCACCATCAAGATATTAGTACTATTTTTGTTTATAAAGTAATTGAAATCCAAAGACCACACAGAGGCTTTGGAACAAGTGTAGAACTGACTGCTTCTTGGCTTTTCTCTCTCATACTTCTTTCATACTTCTGGAGACTAGCTCCATCCATCTCTAAACTTAGTTCTCTGTGTTTATATGAATTAGGTTTTAGGTGTTTCGAGCATAAAAGCTGTAAAATGAGTACTGTAATGTCACTGCCACCCACCAGGCTGATTGTCTAAAGTGACTTTCTCAGCAAGACACAGATTACAGCAGAAACAGGATTTAGTTCTGCAAGGTGTTAATTTGATTTATTTGCAAGAAACTTCTTTCCCTCCCACAAGCCCCCATCTTCACTAGGTAATTGCAATGCGTGTGTAGTAGGAGCCTGAATTAAGCTGCTCAGACATGTTACATTCTGACACTTCTTGCTTCTTCACCTAAAGGATCTTAATAAGGTGATGTCCTTTATTGCAACTATTAAAAGAAATGGAACTGTAGTTATGTACAGTTACAGCAGCACCCATATCACTATAGGCACGTCAAATCTGAAATTTCACCATAACTTTTGAGGGAGAATTAAGTCTCTGTGTTAACTTTCCCTGGTTGTCAGCATCTTGAAGTGAAGAGCCTGGTTTAATTGGGGTAATATGGTTGCTACAGTCTGGAAGTACTTTCTTTTTCCTTTGGCTATGGAGAGCTCATGTTCAGCCAACTTCTTTTGGATGTTTTCCCAGAAGATAGGAATATGTGGATTATTAGCGTGGGGAAGAGAGGGAAGGCATGCCTAGCTGTCTTCCATGTAGTTCTGGTGAGAAATGGTGTGTCTCTAGAGGAAAGTTTAGCATGCTGAAGGTTGTTCCCAGTCCCAGGTAGAAACTTGACAGCCCTCTTTATTTTTCTTAGTTGTGGTAGAATCAACCTTTCCCGCATTTCAGTGCCATGCAGTGATTGTGGTGTTGCTGCTGCTTGGTGCACTACTGTTGAGTTCACTCCCAGGATGTTTTGGGTTAAGTATGGTTCTATCAAAATATTAACATTTTGCTGAAATTGGCAATTCCTGACAGATTGTATCTCAAATAATGAAAGAGCAGTTCATGGAGCAAAGAAGGAACATTTCTCCAACCGCAAGGGCTTTCTCTCCTGTGAATTTCAAACAGTTAATTGCTAAACAAGTAGATATATTAAAACATAGCCCAAAGAGGTCCACAAGATTTTTTTCTTCTAAGTGGATGCAGTCTGGACATTAGATCAATACAACCCACCCAGGAACTATGCTTGTTTTGTGCTATATAAAAATGCTTTTTGCATACAAATATATTTGTATAATTTTTTTTTTCAAATCACAGATTCTTTTTTATTTTCTTACTAATACTGTATAACAAAGTTTGTTTTTCCAGAATGAAAATAAGTGGAGATTAAAAATGATACTTGTTAATTCTTATTTTTTGGTGGGTTTTTTGTTTCAGATTTATTACTATCATAATGTGAAGTGCAGGAGGGAGATGTTTGACAAGGATATAGTAATGCTTCAGGTAACCACATGTACCAGTTTGCATTTTTATCAAGCATTTTCAGGATATGTGTGCATTTGTTTTTAGCTCCATCAGAAGCTTTTAATGACAAGGCAAAAAGTGAATTTTTGTGGAAGGGCTTCTATTTTTTTATATTATCTGTGTCTTTATGAAATAATTTGTACAGGAAATACTGTTGTTGTAATCCTCGTTTTTTAAATACTGTGGAAAGTGCAGAATTTTCTGTATGACGTGTATGTAATGCTACATCTTCAAAAATGTCATTTTAACTGGTGCGTCATGCTGTACTGGCAGTTGTGTGAGTCTGCAGGTCTTTGGGATTATATACTCAATGTATGTGTTGCCTCTTCCCCCTCCCTTCAACGCTGGCATCTGAAATGCTGGATAGAAAGTGGAACCCCATATAGTAGTTTGATTTTCATTTTTTTTCCCCTTCAGAAGGTTTTACAAATCTGCCCATCTACTTAGCTCTGACACAGAAAGGTCCAGTGCATTACTTGTACATTGGCATTGACAAAAGCTAAAATATGCAGCTCAGGGTGCGTAGTTCACATAGACAGCAAATCCTTTCTCAGGAAGGCCCTCAGATCTTACCTAGAGTTAACAATACACATTATGATACACGTGTCCCCAGTTACTTCTGCTTTCAGACATACTTCTCTGAGGCTTGATGTGACCCTGATTTTTAATGATGATCTGCAGCTGCCCATTTGGGTAGCTACCCTTCAATTTTGTTGGAAATTATTCTGCCTTAAAGATGGTCACATTAGCAATAGTAAACTAACAACAAATATCTATAATTGCCTAACTTAGATACGTCATTTAATAAACAGAAAAAACTTTAGCCACAAGTTTTCAGAAACAGAAGTAAATGTTTGGCTACATTGAAACATTAGTATTCTTCTTTCCAGGAAAGTTGGGGAAGTCTTTTTAAAGTCTTCAGCCTTTGTTTTGAAGATTGGAATTTGTTTTTAAAATCTTTTTGTGCTATATACTAAGTGATTCTAAAGTTTCAGCCAGCAGGAACCTACCAAAAATCTGTCATTGTATTTTATTTAGAGAATTTGAGATAGAAGGAATAACCCTGAATGTTTTACACCTAAAATGGCATCAGAAGTTATTGATAAAGCATAGGATCCTGCTTGTCAATTGTGCTGTCACTTGTGATATTTGAGTCCTAAGAGAGTAAACTTAAGTAATTAAATCTCCATGCTCAGGATAGAGAAATAGATTTCATAAAGAATATACTGTGAACATTGTATATAAATATACAAACATGCTACAATAACACTCCGTCTATTTTCTGTTTATAATAGTTTTTTTTCTTTAATAGACAGGTGTGTCTATGATGGATCCAAATCACTTCTTGATGATAATGCTGAGTCGCTTTGAACTTTATCAGATATTTAGTACTCCAGACTATGGCAAAAGATTTAGCACAGAAAATACTAACAAGGTATTTCATGTACTACTGCAATAGAAAATCTGCAGTTTTGTTTTCAAAAGTGTATCAGATGCTGTTGTACTAAGACTGTGCAATATCTTGATTAAAAAAGCAAAACCTATTCTATTTTAATTTTGACCAGTTTGAAATATTTTTACATGTCAAACTGATGCATAATTTTTGCGTTGTTCAAGAACTTTAAGGCAGTGATTGCATTTCAGCATAGCTTAATTTGGCAGTGCTAAGGGTGAAAATGGGCAATGTTTTGAAGCACTGAAAAAATATTTTCATCATGTGGGATGATACTTTTACCCTTAATCGAAAAATGTAAATTCTTTCTTTTTGTTTTAATTCAGGATGTTGTTCAACAAAATAACACTCTTATAGAAGAGATGCTATACCTCATTATAATGATTGTTGGTAAGTTCAGAATGCATTTGATTAATTTTTAAAATGTAGTCTCTTTAATGGACTGGATTAAACATTCTTCATTGTCATCTCAAGTTCAGATCTATTTTGAACTTCCCGTAGTTCGGACTTCTTTCCTAGAAGAGCCCTGAAACTAGCTTGGATTAATGTAATGAGTTTTTGAACACTGTTGGGTGAACACAAGGTTTCACAGAAGAGACTTATCTTCTAGTCTTTTCCTCGAAGTCGCAAAAGAACAGAAATAAATGTTTAAAATCCATAAAAAATGTTGTATTTTATTTTTATAGGTGAAAGATTCAGTCCTGGAATAGGACAGGTAAATGCAACAGATGAAATCAAACGAGAGATCATCCATCAGCTGAGCATCAGGCCAATGGCTCACAGTGAATTGGTAAAGGCATTACCTGAAGATGTAAGTAACGTAGGGTTGGGAAGCAACTTCAGCTTTATAAGGCTGATTGCTGAAAATTTTTCTTATGCAAGTTTATGTCACTTAATGTGGAATAGGAGCAGCATAATTATGCTAAGAGCAAGGTTAGGGTGAGTACAGATTAATAGTTGTCATGGAGAAGGTAGGAAGAAGCTACGGAAGAAGAGACAACATGTGAGTGAGGCAGGAGCCCGAGAGCTTCTTCAGCTCTTTTCTCTTTTTAATACTGTTTCTTATCAGGCCATCTGGCTGGCAGCCTCTGCAGTCTGCTTGTAAACCCTGAAGTGGGTTGCTGGAGCTATCCAGAAATACAGGCTGTTATATTTTAAAACCTAACACTAATTGAAAGGACATGGAATCAGCCATGGTATAACGACTTGTGTAACATAAATGCTTCATTCGCATGGACAGAAGCATTTATCTGAAATGTGGTATGAGTGATTTTGTAGCATAGCAAAGCTTTTTCCTTTTTTAGAAATAATCTTTTAAACATGATTTATGAAGGCAGTCAAAATTTTAAAATTAAATCTTTTACTATACTGGTAGTACTTTTAATGATAAGTTCTGAAATATTTTCATCGTTCTAAATATTTTAAACTTAAACAATTTGAAAAGTTGAATTTTAGGGTAGCGTTGTGGGGTTGTTTTATTTTTTTTTTTTTAAATAATATAAGGTTGGATGAAAGAGCAAACTGGGATTTAAACCAGAGTTATAAATTGTATTATCAGTCTTAAATACTTCTTCCCTGACCTGTTAACTGCTGTGAATATGTATTGCAGGAAGGGGATGGGAATATTAAAGGATAATTTGTGTATGAAGTAGTTATGTATCTGAGCTGATTTTTCCTGCTGCCTTTTGTGGTGGTTTTACCATTTTTCAGTGAATTGTCTTTTTAGCTTCCCTATATTTGTTTCATTTTAAAGGCCTAAAAATACTGAGTATATATTCCTAAGATCCACTGAGTAAGCCAACTTGGACTTCTCTTCCGTTACTGTTACATCCAAGTTTATTATGACAGGGAAACCCAGTAAAAGTGAAGCACTTAAAATGACGTGATTTTTTTAAAAATACTTTTTGCAGAGATGGTATTCTTGAATGTATTTTCACGTTACATGCTTTAGCGCTTTCTTTTTCACGTTACATGCTTTAGCACATTTTCCAGTAAAATGGCTTCATACCACATTCGTTTTGCATGTTTATCTTGTGTTGTGTTACCTGAATGTGCCTAATCCGCGAACTACAGTAACACACTGTCTTGCCTTTTCACTCAATATAGGAGAACAGAGAGACTGGAATGGAAAGTGTGATTGAAGAAGTGGCATGTTTCAAGTATGTTTCCCTTTATTCTGATATTTCAGCTTTAAAAAATGGGTTCTCTATGTTAGTGAAAATGAGAGAATAGAAGAAAGGGGGCTGAGTCGTGGTGTTTTCCTATGACTTTACTCATATGCAACATTCTTAATACTGTTACTTACTTGGTTTCTATAATGCCTGTTGAGCAGTGGGTTTTAGCTGTTCTGGTTAACCATTTATGCTCAGACGTTAACCAATGAACATAAGGTTTTACATATCTTGTTTGTTTGTGGTTTTTTTTTTAATGTAGGAAACCTGGATTAACAGGCAGAGGACTGTATGAATTAAAACCAGAATGTGCCAGGAACTTCAATCTGTATTTCTATCACTTTTCAAAGGCAGAGCAATCAAAGGTAACTAGTAATTTAACTTTCTGGTTTTTATTTTGTGTCTCTTTTTGTTTGCTTTTTTTTTCCCCAAAGCTTAATTCTGTGAAGTATTATCAGCTGGTTAAAAGTTAACTTTTAAAAGTTAACTTCTTTGAGAATGTTACCAAAATTTGCCTAAGATTTTGCAGTGATTTCTGTACCACTGGATCCTGTACCCTATGCAGAGCTGCTGAAATCAGTGGGCCTTCAGGAGCTTGTCTGTGGGTTCTCTTATGTCTTATTTTACCAAAAGTATTTAAACAGTCTGTATTTTTGCGTAGCTTTATGGAAATTACCGTTTTATCTCAGACTTGTCTTAGAAATTTATACTAGAAAAAGAATCCAGATGAAAGATTAATTTTGAAGGTGCATGCCCCACTTTACAAGTAGAATGTAAGACAAACTGAAAAGACATGGAAGCTTTCTTATTTTATTTAAGGCTGGGAAAAAGGGGGAAAAACAATAACAAGGTAATAAAGCATGAATGCTTTTTTATTGGTTTTATATTTGGATGGGTTTTGAATGATATTGGCATTATTCTTCTATTTCAGGCAGAGGAAGCACAAAGAAAGCTGAAAAGGCAGAACAGAGAAGATACAGGTATTTATCTTTGGGAGAAGATGGAAAGAGAGGGAAGCACCTATCAAACTGTGTATTGCCCTGACCCTTAGACAGACATCCTGTTCTTGGGCTAGCCAGAAATTGGTTGAAAATGTAACAATTTCCCTTATGGCTCCCTGGTTATGGACAGGAATCAGATCTGTTTTGGGTCCAGCCTTCTGAACAGCTTATTCTTTTGGCTTTCCTGTTACATGCAAGCCAGGTGGAATGTTGCAGCCTGTTATCTGTAATTCTGTTTGTCAAGCAGCTGTATACTGTCTTGGGTTAAGCTGTTAAGCTGTTTGAAAGTCAGACATTTTATACAGGTGTTGCAAGTTTTAAGGATGCTAAAGTGTCAAACAGACAAATTTCCCTTTCAGCACTTCCACCACCAGCTCTTCCTCCTTTCTGCCCACTTTTTGCAAGTCTGGTTAATATTCTGCAGTCTGATGTCATGCTGTGCATTATGGGAACTATACTGCAATGGGCAGTAGAACACAATGGCTATGCCTGGTCAGAGTCCATGCTGCAAAGGGTATGTGTCCTTATTTAAAATTATGCTTATACTATGTATTTTAGCATTTTAACATGGGTTTATAGATTTGGGTTTGTTTACTTGATATCTAATGTATCCAGAATACTCTGAATGAGAAATAAATTTTTTTTTTCTGATATACAAGACTAGGAAAACCCCTCTGCCTCCGATGCAATTTATTTTTTAAAATGAATGGAAGAGCGAGGTAAATTTCTAATGGGATGCACACGAGAAGGAAGAATTCTGCTTGAATCTGTTTATTGTGATAGAGAAACAGTTTACCTGAGTTGTTGAATATTAAGTAAAGCACATTGACTTCTTGACGTTCCTTTGCTTATTTTCAGTTTAGGCTAAATCACTTTAGAAAAAAAAGTAAAAGTACAGAAAATAATTTTCTAACTTGAAAAGATATCAGCTTTTGGAAACTCAACTGAGCTGTTTGTTCCTCACTATTTATAATGACCTTTGGAAATCTAGAGGGTTACTGTAGACTTTGTTGTCCATGATGGTCATTTTCTGGGGTGTGCAGAGATAAGTGGTGAACTGCCGTCAAAGGGCTATTCGTATTGGTCAGGGTTGTTGGTTTAGTAACCGAACCCAAACTTTTCAAAAATATTGATGGAGTTTTAAATAACGTTTTGAGATGAAACCCCAGCTTTGAAACTGAGTATTAATTTTTTTGACATTCAGTCTTATTGCATGTCTTACCTTTTATAGATAGTTTAATTAACATAAGGAATTCTGTATAACATAAAAAAAGTTGAAAATGGAACAATATATCAGGATTATAAATCCCAACAAAAATTGAAGAATGTGGTTACATTTAGGTAACGTGAGAATGCTAGGCTTTGGAGTAACTGTTTGAGCAGAATAAGACTTCATTTTTATTTTTCTGAAACCGAACAAAACCATACTCAGCCGTTTGAGTACCTCTCTGTTCTCCAGGATGTGTGATTCATTAGGGACCTGTCACTTGCTCAAAAACTCATGGCGCTTTATATTGACCGGTGCCACGCAGCTGGACTGCATCTTTCCCAAGTCACCCACTCTTGTCTTGGAAGCACCATGCAAAGGTTGATATGAGACACCTGGAAGAGGTGGTCTGTATCTGATGAGACCTTGTTAGATAGATGTGATGGACTGTTACTTATTAAAACAAATAAAAGGAAACTTCACAACTCAAATCAGGTTTTACCCCTTTTTCTGTAGATACTGGAACTGTTGCATTCCAGTTCTGCTACAGATTTTCTGGTGATTATCCTTTCCTTACATGGGTTTCAGTGTTGATTCCAGGCAATCAGTAATGCTTTTTGTCTAGAGCATCCTGCCAATTTGTATGGAGTGGAAAAAGTGGTTGAGCATGACAGAGTTCACCACCAGGATTGAAGTGTTTCAGCTTTAAAATGCCATTCAGACTATTTTCGTGTCAAATAGGGTAATTTCAGTTTCTAAATTAAAGGAGATTACAGCTTTTTACTGACCTAAGTGTTAACGTTATTTCTAAATGTGTTTCTAGAGTGTTAGAATAGATGTAATAATTTTAACTTTTTGACAGTTGAATTTTTTATGTAAAAAGGATTTAAAGTATGCATCATGCTTCTGTGCTGAGACTTGCAATAACAACATGCGATTGCTAGGGAGATAGCTAAGCAGCACTGACTTCTCACTCAGCAGACAGGACAGCAGACAGGAAGATACAAGTGGTATAATGTGTTTCTTATCTGGCAAAGTTTCAAGGATTTGTAAACAAACACTGTTACTCCTGTGTAATGTAGCTTTGGAATTACGTGTATAGAAATAACTTCAAATATATTCTTACTATATAATTTTATTGTATGACTTCTGTGTCGCTTAATGACTTACCCGAACTATGGAAAGACATGTGAATTACTTAAGAAAAGAACTAAAATTTATAATTTTTACCTAGGTTTTGCATTTGCTTGGGATGGCACTACAGGAAGAAAAACAACATCTGGAGAATCTCAGTGAGGAGAATGTTGTAACATTTACCTTCACTCAGAAAATATCAAGTATGCCTTTCTTTTCAAATGTATAGCAAATTTTAAATAACTGAAAATGCCAGTATCTCATATTTTATTCTTCTGAAACAGTATTTACCAGAAGAGTATATTTGTTCATCCATCAAGATTTTACCAAGTTGACTATACATATGTACCTTACATATGTGTAGATTCTATGATAGTAGCAATAGCGAAAGCTTTTTCTAGAGGAGAAATCCAAAAGTTGAGTAATTCCCAGTAAATCTGATTCTTAATATCTTTTAAGTAGAGTCTCAACAAAGATTGCTGTACATGATCAGATGCTACAATCGCAAAAACTGTAGTTGCATTCTTAAATGGTCTTTTAATCTTGACTCTACTTTGTGTCTTCTGACTAGTGCCTCTAGTTTTGCTAAGACATGAAAGTTGCTAAGACACTTCCATTTAAAATAGCTGGGAAATAAAATATTGGAAGTTCTACATGGCAGCTCCCAAGGTGAAAACAGCCAGGGAGCACATACAGTGCATTTGTCTTGTAAGAAAATATAGTCAGTGAGCAAGATTTTTAAGACTATTTCCTCTAACTTTTCAGGATTTAGAGGGTATTCATGAAAATGTTTGTGGAGGGGGGAAAGTTACATATTGTGCCTATTTGTTGAAGGAATTCTTCAGCTGCTGAACGTATGCAAGTGGTGTTTTGGGGTTTTGTTGATTTTTAATGTTAGTGAATGATTAGTTTGTCAGGTAACAGTATAATCAATTGTCATCATAATTTTTTCTCAGGACCGGGAGAGGCACCAAATAATTCCCCTAGTATACTAGCTATGCTAGAAACACTGCAAAACGCACCTCATCTGGAAGTGCACAAGGACATGATCAGATGGATATTGAAGGTAAATGTATTTTATATAACTGCTGAAAATCATGGAAATAAGGGGGTTTTTTTTTTGAAACTTTCCTAATTTTATTGTGATGATTTCCTTGTTTCCCATGTTGATTTGTTGTACCTACTTCTTTCCTTTTCTGGAATCCAACACTATGCATTATCTGGCCAGCATTATAGTATACACAGTTATATTCCTGTGTCACAAATAAACGAAGTGTTGTTTTTTTTCTTACAGACTTTTAATACTATTAAGAAACTAAGAGAAAGCTCCTCGACAAGTCCTGTGGCTGAGACAGAAGGAAATATTATGGAAGAGGTAAAAGCAAGCCATAACAGTTAGCTGATCTGGAACAGGTCTGGGTTGTGACTGGCAAAGGTCTATATTTCTAATTACAGCTCTTAACTCAAAGATGGGAAACAACAGCGATTTCTGAAATTCAGTCTCACAGCTTATAGATCAAACCCATGCGTTTGAAAGACCTATTGGGAGAGTCCTTGGACTATTTTTCTTTGCTTTTTATATTGTAGTCTCCAAATCTTTTGCGAGTTTACTCCTTGGAACTGTTTGTAGTACTGATCACAGCACTTAGTGGTTCTGCTCTTCCCATAATTTCAGACTCCTTGGAAAGTTGTTAAAAGAAATGGTATCTGTGTATTTTTACCATGCAGGTCATTCCACGTAAGCTCTGCCAATTCCTTTAGCTCGACATGCTGTTCTAGGTCCTACACAAAGACCCTGGGACACTAGTGCATTTAAGCATACAGCTAGTACGGAGGAAGAGCAGCACTAGAGATGAGACCTGTCACTTACCTTATTATCTTGTGAATGCTCAAAGGGAAGAGAAATACAAAATATAGTTAAAGGTTGAGGGGGAGAGGTACCCTTCTGGATCTGTGGTTCTATGTGGCACTGAACATGAGCTAAAGAAAAGAGGGCATAAAGTAGCTTTTTGGTAGACTTTTCTTGTGTTGTCTTGGAGATTTTCATTGTTTGGAGGTTGGTACAAGTTAAATACAGGAGTAGCTAAAATAAATTGTATGTTGCAACAAGATTTTAAAAATGACTGAGTGAACAATACAATTTCAGAGTTCACGTGATAAAGACAAAGCTGAAAGGAAGCGAAAAGCTGAGATTGCCAGATTGCGCAGGGAAAAGATCATGGCCCAGATGTCTGAAATGCAACGGCACTTCATTAATGAGAACAAAGAACTTTTTCAGCAAACTTTGGAGGAGCTGGATACTTCAACCTCTGGAGTACATGAAAATAGGTAAAGGCATGCCGTTTAATTTTTTTTTTTGTTTACCTTTTACATCAGATTGTCCTATTGTTACTACTTAAAAAAGTGACTTTTTTAGTCTTGATGGAAAACTATTCATAAGTTTTTGAGACCAAAACAGCAGCAGTAAATACTTTCCTCCCCTTTTCTGTCAAGATGGTGAGATAAATATTGATTCCTCCCTTGTCCCATCCTCACAGTGCTCAACATAAACAGGCAAATAATTTTTTTGTGTAAAATAATCTGGTAAATTGTTAATAATACTGAAGAGACTTTGCTATTAAACATAGTAAATTGGAAATAGCTGATTATATGTCTGTTGAGGATCTGGAAGGAAATCTGCTTGTGGCTGGAAATATGAATTGAAGCATGCTAATGGTTTTGTGGAGAAGTGGAGAGTGTTTTCAGGATTTATGTCAGGCACTTAAGGGATGGTGATGATGGAAGGTCACAGATACAGTTCCTGTGTTAAACTGGAGTGGGTAATACTATTGGGAGGGTATGAATTTTTTTCTGGAAAATACGTTCTATTTCTGGGGACATAGGAATTGTTGTATAAAAGCCAAAACTATTTTTTGCCAGAGACCATTTATCATAGAGCTAGAAAGCTCACTAATCACACTTAAATCATGATCTGATTTGTAACGTTTTTTGAATAATTTGCTCACTAGTGTTCTTTGCATATTCTAGCCCTGTAATTTCAGATGCAAAACTCACGGCCTTGGGACCAGAGCAAACTAGAGTAGCTGAACACAGACAGGTTGTTATGTGTATATTGTGTCAGGAGGAACAAGAAGTTAAAGTGGACAGCAGGGCTATGGTCTTGGCAGCGTTTATTCAGCGATCAACTGTGTTGTCTAAAAATAGAAACAAAATTACTCCAGACCCTGGTAAGTAGTGTTCATGGTTGTCCTTGATAATAGTGAATGTTGGAGTCACTGTAACAACCACATGCTTTCTTTTGAGACAGTGGCATCGCCTTCTTGTGTTAACTGTATAATTGTGAATGACTTCATTGTAATCAGTGGCAAAACTTCCACACTTTTAGTGAGGTAGAAGTGTGTGTTCCAAGTAATGTACAATCACTGCAAAGCATTATCTAAATGTTCTGCCAACAATTTATGACACTTTATTTGTAACTGTTAATAAACCCTGTGAAATCAGAAGTGCTGTTCTTAAACTACACCCGTAACATTATAGAGAGAGAGGAGGTGTTGATGTGGTGCTGTAAAAGCATAAGATCTAAATTTCCTTCCTCTCAGTTACATGATCTGAAATGCCTCTTAGTGATGATAAAAAATGCTTGGATTTAGCTAACTTTGTGAAACAGATTGGAATGATCAGTGACATTGTTACAAAGGTTTCTCTGGATTCTGTATACATAAACACATAGAAAATGTCTGCTCTGAATCATTTTGCACGCTCGCTCTGAAGATTCATATTCTTAGACACATTGTTTAATGGCACTGAGCCACCAAAACTGCAGGTGGATCTTGGGGACTGTTACCAGGGCCCAGCACCTCCGAAAGCTTGGTTTGAAGTCTAGGTACAGTACATGCGTTCAAAACAAAGTGACGTGGTACTTGTGAATTATCTAAACAGTTTCAGTTATTGTGGTTCAGTAATATGTTTTATGCTTCATCAAATGAGTTATAATTCTGTGATAAAGTTTAATAATAACACAAATGTGGTAACATTTATCTGCAGTTAAGTCTTTTGATAAATGCTTAGTTCAAAGTTGTTTTGTTTTATTTTAAATACAGAAAAGTATGACCCATTATTCATGCACCCAGATCTGTCGTGTGGAACACACACGGGTAGCTGTGGACATATTATGCATGCTCATTGTTGGCAAAGGTAAAAAGCTGTATTTAAGTTTTCCATCCAAATAGCACGGCATGCCATCAGTTTGCCTAACGGCACTAGTTTTAATGACAAAATTACTACCATGTACTAAACTTAAAAAGGAATTTCATGAAGCAATTCAAACAGCTTTCTGTTGGGGGGGGGGAAGTAGAAATCATTATAATAAGTACTGTAAACATGTTCAAAATAATTTTCATTTACTATTGGTTGACTTGGTGAAGGAGAATCCAAAGCCACACATGGCAGCTTTCATTCCCTTGGATTGTTTATCCCTGCGCATAGTCCCCTGTGGTGCGCGTATATCTGAACATGGAAGCTCAGATTTTTGGGTTTTTTTTTTGCAATTCAGTAATAGACATGTTCCTGCTGTTTCTCGTGGTCTCTACTGAAGTTTTAAATGATGGTGCATCCCTCGCACTCTTCATTCTTCCATCATGTTTAATTTGAAGTAGAAACATTTGCAACCTAGTTCAAGTTCATCTTCAACATAAATTCAATTTTGTCTTTTGTTCTTAGTTTTTTCTATAAAACCTTTTTCAGTTACTTTTATTCTTCGATTTTTGGAGGGGGATAGGCTTAGTGCTACATGGTGCCAATGCCATGTGGCAAATGCAAACCATTCAAGCCTCTGACTTCTGTCTGGCCCTTGCTTTGGTCCTTGGCACGGCTTCTGAAGTGCCTGATTTCAAATTCTGCCGTGTGTGTGAAGATAGTTAGGATCTCCCAGAGATTCTGTGGCCGTAACCTGTCAGGTTTCATTTGCTGTCTTTGGTATCACTGCTTACTGAAGAGGTGTTCTGCATCTTCCTGTGGAGCTCGTGTACAGTCCTGTGTGGTTGCCGTTAACTCCCGGAAATGCGCTTAGTTGCCTGTGTTCAGACCATTTTTGGGTCATCGTCAGGTACACTCTAAACTATCTCAGAGGCTTCTGAGGTAGCAGTTACGTTTAGCAAAGCAGTGAATTGAGTTCCTTTTCATATAGGATTTGGAGATCAGCCACCAGTTTTTCCAGTTACTGCTCTTTGTGACCTGTAGTGGAATATACACGGATAATGCTCATGGCTGCTCCCTTAAAATTTAATGTAGAACTCAAGAATTTTTTTTAATCCTTCAGTTTTCTCTCTTACCCCTTTTTCCTGAATGGAAATTGCTGAAATTCAGACTTAAATGTGTTTTAACAGCCCAGTGTACTTGAGCACTTCAGGGGATTTTGGCTGCCAAAAACTGGGGATAGCCTGCAGTTAGTAATACTGCAGTCAGAGGGCAGAGATTTTTCCTTCAGATGACTCTTTATGTATATCTGGGAAAAGGCAAAACAGTTCTATGTAAGAATTCATTAATTTATGTGTTAAAGTTTTAATAATTTGCCACTAATATCTTTCTGTTTTCTAAAGGTATTTTGATGCTGTCCAAGCAAAAGAGCAACGGAGACAACAAAGATTACGAGTACACACAAGTTATGATGTAGAAAATGGCGAATTCCTTTGTCCACTTTGTGAATGCTTAAGCAACACTGTTATTCCTCTGCTTCCTCCACCAAGAGTTTTGTTTAACAGGTCTGTTTGCTTTATAAATGTCCTCAATAAATGTAAAAACCCAAATCCCAAACAGGCCACACCACAAGAACCCCTTTCAAAATGTTTATCTTCCGTTTTGATAATCTCAAATGGATTGTCTGCCTGGGTATTTTGGTTCATGAGCCTTCCTTGGTTGTTGTGTAGTACAGAATTTAGAGTATGAAAGGACAGTAAGGTGTAGGACCTGCAGGAAAGGAACCGAGCATAGAGAAGTGTGTGGACAGCAGAGAAAGAGCCTGTTGAGAAACAGAAGAACATGGAATGCCAATGAAATACTAATTCTGTATATAGTTTGTGTTTAACTGATGTATGTCTTCTGTTTATGTATGTTTTTGGACAGGTTAGACTTTTCAGGCCAACCAAACCTAACTCAGTGGATCAAAACAATATCCCAGCAAATAAAAGCACTGTATTTACTTCGAGATGAGGATGGTGCAAGTAAGTCTGAAGAAATGTGTCTGTTCGTGTGATAATGTTATAATATTCGTGGAAAAGACGGAGTATTTTGGTTCGGCCACGGTGGAGTTGACAGATGGTGGCAAAAGTGGCGAGAATAGCTTGGAGTTTTGGTTTCTAGTGGTGTGCTCGTGCACCTTTTTATAAAGTAAAAATTATGTATAGGTGAATAATCAATGTTTTATTACTTCTTGTTGTACAGGAAATTCTGGTAATTCAGAAAAAATGGATCAGCTGCAATTACCTGAAGGATTTAGACCAGATTTCAAACCGAAGTATGTATTTACATCTTGATAAATGATGAAAAATTCATCATGAAATGGTAACATGAAAATAGAATGTGACTTCTGTGCTATAAGGTCTCAATAATTAAGGCAAATACGTGAATTTTGCTTTAATTAGAAAAGTTGATCCTATTGTTATGATGGTGTTGAAGTCTAACGCCCAAGTAGTAAATAATGCAGTAGAATTTCAGAGATGGAAGTGGTAAGTGGATGTGCAGAGAAGATGCTGCAGTTATATAAATTTCAACACCAGGATTAAACTTTACTTTCCTATTACTTGTAACTGGATTAAGGGTTCATTGTTATAGCTCAACACTAAAAGTAAAACAAGAAGAAAGACTATGAAATGGAGAGTATGTTAATATGTAATTTCGGCTATTATGGTGCATTTGTATTTGAGTCTACCCTTTCTTCACTTGAGAAAGTAATAAAATTCATTGCATGGTACAGACATTTGTTGCCAGCTGCACACAAAGCCACAAGACACCTACCCCGGCTGATGACAGGTTTTACTATCAGGCACTCACAATTCTTTAAATTAAAACTTAACTATATTATCTTTGACAACTGGATATTTTTAACACTAAAAAATGAGATTGGTTCCAACCAAATAATCAAAAAATAACTGGGAGCGTATCTGTCACGGAAAAGAGATTTCAGAATACCATGTGCAAAGGATACTGGAGTTCTCCCTTAAAATTTAAAAATCCAGGTGTTCAATGCTCATCGTTAAAAGTACTGTCCTGCCAGTGGAGAAAATACTGTGAATTAGTAATATTGGGGGGTTTTATTTTTATTTCAGGAATCCTTATTCTGAGAGCATAAAAGAGATGTTGACAACTTTTGGTACGGCAACATACAAAGTAGGCTTGAAGGTTCATCCAAATGAAGAAGATCCACGTGTACCTATAATGTGCTGGGGAAGCTGTGCTTACACGATACAGACGATAGGTACTAATGCATTCATTTTGTTCCTTTATATGTGAGTTTCAGAATTTAGTTAAATTCACAGTGTTGAAATATTTTGGGGTTTGGTTTTTTTTTTACAGAACGAATTTTAGCTGATGAAGATAAACCGTTATTTGGTCATTTACCTTGTCGACAGGTAAGGATCAAGTAGCAATTCCTTTCTTAATAAGTGGAAAAAGAGGTAATTGTGCTTCTTTAATGCAGAATATCTAAATTTTAAGTTGTAGTTATTTGATAGTTTTATTTGTTGGATCTCACTGTTTATTCAATCCGTATCTGATTATTAATCTATTTAAAAATACAATCTAGCAAAAATATTGTGGGTTTTTTTCTATAAATGAAGAGTTTAGCAAGGCCGGGGTTTCTCCTGGCAACAGTCAAAATAAAAATACTGAAGGGAACTTGTATATTTGCATAAACCTGGATATCTGTCATGTACACTCAGACTGCTCCCATAAAGTACAGTTGAGGGGTCTGAAAAGAATGCTGTAAGTCAAAAGACCTTTTCATAATGAGGAACTTCGTTAACTGTGGCAGTGTCTGTTTTTTGTTTTTAAAGGATGACTGCCTTACATCATTAACAAGATTTGCAGCAGCTCACTGGACAGTTTCATCTCTTTCAGCAGTACAGGGTCACTTTTGTACTCTCTTAGCATGTAAGTTTACCACCTTATGCTGTTTTTTACAAAGATACAGATATAGAAAAATGCTTGCAGAATGATCATTAGCCTTGATTGCAGGAAATTTGTTTTATGTAGTGGTTTTAAGTAATAGACCAAGAGCCAGTATGTTCACATCTGTACCTATACATTTTTCGTCACTCTGTGGAAAAAAAGACATTTCTTTTGGTCTGCAGTTCCAAGATATGTTTCAAGAAAAAGCATGGATATTTTGCTGTGAAGGAGTTCTGCTGATTTTTTTTCAAGCATTTATGTTGCTGCTTTCAGAAAGATACCTAGAGTGAAAGAGAAGGAAGCATGATCCTTCACAAAAGTTATAAGCTGGGACTTTAAAGAGGAGGAAATTAATGTAGTATTGAAAGGAAATATGATATTTGCAGAGGTCTGTAATATATCTGCAAACTTCTCTGTCTTTGAAAAGTAAGATCTGTGGTAAGACAGGACTTACTATGTAATGGCATATATTAGTCGAGAATTTTAATAAGAACAGCCTAAATGTTCCAAGCTTGAAGCCTTTGTAGACCCAGGTGAAAAGCCTGAAGTTCAGCCTAATGCAGTAATTATCCATGAGAGGACTACTCTGAAAGGGTATTATGAAAATTAAATTATTAACCAGGGATAACTTTAATATTTACAGTCAGTAGAGCAGGGGAACTTTTAAAATGCATTCATATACTGAAATTGCTAGAATTGATAGCACCTACTTCATCAAACAGTTGGCAGTTTTATGGGGAAGAACTTAATTGACATCGGTTTGTAGCAGTAATGATTGAGCCATTTGCTACGTGAAGCAGAAGAGACAATGCTGCTAGCTGTGTGACAGGTACTTTGTAGTATATGGTGTTCTGCATGGTTTGAGATTTCGTGAAAGCTTGAATCAATGTTTCTTCAAAATTATTCTTCCTTCCCGCTGACAGAAGCAACTGTACTGCTTTTATTTTTATGAAGGAGGTGTTTGCCATTTTATTTTTCAAGGCTAGGAATAAGGAAAATTACTAGCCTTTGATCTGTCAGTATTCTGTGAACTAGACATGAAGATAACTTAGTGAATAAAAGTTTGGTTTTGGAAGTCCCTTGCTCTGGTAACGTGTTTGGTAGAAGCATTTTTCACACTTTTGGGTTGAGTTCTGTGGCTGTGTGCTTACAAAAGTAGAAGCATTTGAAATCTGAGTGGTGGTGAAATGTTTGCCCATAGAAATAGCTTCCAAATATGACACAGATTCAGCTGTTAATTTTTTGGCCATCAAGGCAGCAGTCTTCAGCTAAAGCATTTTTAAGTTGTTATGGTATGACTATTTTTTACTGTAGTAGTGTTTTTAAACGTGGCAACTTAATGCTTATTGCTACATTGCAAAAATATTCTCATAGCTGCAGTTGAAACTTTTATTGTATATCAGATTTTACTGCTTGGAGTAAAGAAGTTTGCAACTGTTCCTTGATTGTTATTTTAAATGTGTTGCAACATCTTCAAGACTCTTTATGTTTGCTTTTAGGCGGAGGTACTTGGAATTTATTATGTGTATGAATTTTTCTTGTCAGCTGGAGTGCTTTGGTTAATACTTTGTGGTTACTATGAATGTGAATACTACAGAGATGGAGAGACCACTCCCTAGCTCTTTCTAAATTAGAGACACAATAACAAATTTGAGAGTCTTTAGCAATGTATTTTTAGTCCATAAGACAAATGAGTTACGTGAGGCAAATTTAGTTCAGCAAATGGCAAAAGTTGCCTTTGAACAGCTGTCCAGCGACAAGCACTAGTGTTTCCGTTCAGTCACTGGTGTTTGAGCTTATTTCTGGGTCAGAGATTGAGATGCTGTCTCATTTTGTCTCCCCTGGAAACCTAGGCAGTGAAGGAGAGTCTCTACGGGAGTAGTGAATGGCAACACTTACTTTGTTGTAGTGACTTTGGGTTTGTTTCGTTTCAGTACAGTGTAGTCAGGTAGGCCAGAGTCTTTTCCGATAATGTTCAGCAACTCTCAAACTCTCACCTTTCTGGCCAAAACAGGTATACTTGTATTTTAAGTACTTTAAGTGTATAAACCAAGAAGATGGCTCTCCTTTCGTAACTGAAGTACACTAATATCTTTTAATATATAAATGTTCAATTAATAAATTTATTTTTCTCTCCAAAATAATCAGCACTGGTGCCTAATGAAAAACATGGAAATCTTCCTTGCATACTTGATATTGACATGTTTCATTTATTGGTAAGTATTCCATAATATATATTAATAATGTTTTGATCCAGTAGCCACTATGTAAAAACTGAATTGGAAACTTTCTCTTTACTTCGGGTTAGGAACCTTTCCAAATGTTTGGATTTGTAGTATTTTTTCACTACTTAATACAAGTTAAAGACTTTTTCCTTTAAAGTATGCTTATCTATGAGTAAAAAAGGGATAAAATGAAGTAGAATGTGTATTCTTTGGATGTTAAATAAACCAAACTGAACCAAAAAAACCCAAAACCAAGCCACCCCCCACCCCCCCTGCCGAAACCAAATAATACTAAAAAAAACCCAACAACAATCAGAAAAAAAAAAACAACAAACGAACAAATCAAAAACCAACACAAAAACCTGACAATTAGTCATTGTTCCCTTAAGTAATGGCTGGCTAACTTGCTTCAACATTCACTTTATGAAGTATGCTGCCTTCAAAGGGTAGAGTTGCAGCGTGAGCAGAGAAAATGGGAAGATCCAAAAAAACAAAGGAATATACCAGCTCTCTTGTTTTCTTTTACAGGTAAGCTTGGTGCTCTCTTTCCCTGCCATACATTGTCAGGATTTTTCAGGGGTTAGTCTTGGCACTGGAGATCTTCACCTGTTTCATCTTGTCACTATGGCACACATAATACAAATTTTACTTACCTCGTCAACAGGTAATGCCACTTCATACTTTTGTTGAAATGATTCCTCAAATCTGTACTTGGAAAACACTCAGGTGCTGTTGGTAAATGTATGCAGTTTACAGTTGCAAAATAAAATTGTTGGTGCTCTCTCTTTCAGCCCATAGGAGGTATTGATAAATTGTACCCATAAAAGTTCAGTCTTTTATCTTTATTGCTTAACACTGGAGGTTTTGTGGAGCATCGCTGGTCATAGATCCTAGCTTTCCAGCTAGTGCAGCACTGCCTGGAAGTGTTTGTTGCAGAGACTTGGCTTAGGCATTGCATGATGAATAAGTTGCAGTTAGTAAAGGAATCAATGTATCTTCTGGCAAGAGGAGCTGGATAAGGTGTAGTATGCCAAAAGCAAAGAACTCTGAGCAAGTATATTAAGAAACCCAGCCAACTGAACAAGTAAACCAACACTCACTGGAGCTGACAATAGTGTAAACTTACCGTGTAAGATATGCAGCAAAAAACACTTTCCCAGTACGTTATATGGTAGTACAGTGGAGGGTTTTGCTTAGCTTTGGCCTTTTTCTCAAAACTTGAAAAATTACATTCTTGCTGTGTAATTATGTATGTATATGAAGTAACTTGCTTATTATTTTCAGAAGAGAATGGCATGGATCAAGAAAACACTAACAGTGAAGAGGAAGTAGCTGTGCTTGTGCTGTATAAATTTCTTTGCCAGTGTACAGGAAGGTAAAAGTGTGATCTTCTGCTAAAAAATTATAATACTGTTTCCCTCCTGGACTCAGTATTAACTGACTGAATTCTGTATACTAATGCTGTCAAAGATGAGACTTTTAACTTGGGAACTCCTGCATCTTGTTTCTTATCTGCTACTTCTAGATTCACTTTTCAAGTAACTATTCCTATAAATTCCTCTGTGCTCATGAAGATACCTGCTCATGAAGATTATGCTCTGGAACAATGTTTTTAGGCAGTTTGCAGATGTGTAGAATCTGGAATTGGCAGTGTCTGAGTACAGAAAACTTGTTAGGATCTGAGATGTCCATGCAAAATTTTCCTTAATGTACTGTCCCAGTTGGTTACATTTTTATGAATCTGTATTTCATTGTTTTTCTTGGTGTTAGCTTTGAAACAAACACTTTGCATAATGCTTGTTTCCACTGAAGTTGGTACTTTAACATGAAATAATGACTGAAGACTTACTGAATATAGCTCTCAAACTGAAATGATTAAATAAAAACAAACTTTTTGTATTTTGTTCTCTTAAGTGCCTTGAAAGAAATTTCCTCAGGCTGGCACCTGTGGAGGAATCTAAAAGCTGGGATCATGCCTTTCCTCAGATGTTCTGCTTTGTTTTTCCATTACTTAAATGGAGTCCCAGCACCCTCAGAAGTTCAAGGTATTGTTTTGTATTAAGTCAGCTTTTCAAGTCATAAACATTTGTGGACAAAAGAAATTACATTTAAACTCTCTTTTCTGAAGAAGCTGATTGAATGAATGCAGGCTTCCTACCAGTGCAGAATCTCATCTGCAGAATGAAAAAGGCAAAAAAAAAGTTTCCGTTTTAAAAATCTATTTTTGATATAGAAGTGAATGCCAATTCTAGATTACTTAAAATGGAAATCGATGCTGTTCTGTTAAAAAATGAAATTTTGATTATTTCAAATCTTCTATTGATTACTGTTTTCAAATGAGACCTGCTTTTGCTTGCATTGATTTCATTTCAATCAGCATTCACTGATAATTCGTATCACTCTATAAATACACTGTTAGATTATACCCCAAGTAATCGATGTTAGTGACACAATTTACTGTCTTCCATATATGGTGTATGTAGGGATAGAATGTAAATCTGAAGATGTTGTTAATAAGTAGGTTCACACTGCTTCAGGATTCCCATGTTTAAAGCAAAGTCTGATGGTTGGTGCTGAGCTGACACAAGAACAGCAGTTTTCACTCGTGACAGCCGGCTGATCATGAGCCAGCAGCGTGCTCAGGTGGCCAAAAGGCCAACGGCATCCTGGCCTGGATCAGGAACAGTGCTGCCAGCAGGACCATTCACCTGTACTTGGCTTTGGTGAGGCCGCACCTC